ACTGTTTTGGGAGCTTTCTTGTTTGTTTGTTTGTTTGTTCTTTGTTTTTAAGATTTATTTATCTTAGAGAGTGTGAGGTGGGGAGGGGCAGAGGAGAGGGAGAGAGAAACTTCGGCAGAAGGACCTCCAAATCAGTTATAAGTTAAGAAGGCAACATTATCACCATTTAGTGTCAGAGCAGAAGACTGAAACATTTTTTTCCCTTCAGGGTCGTGTGGTTTAGATAAATACTAAAGGCTAGATAACTTAAGCTTTTGACCTACTGGTATTAATTTAAAACTTTATTAATATATTTTCATGATAATTATGAAATGAATTTAGATTTGGTTCTCCTGCTTTTAAAGATTATATTAATAATAATTGTAAGAAATAATATATATGGCTTTTAATTTTGTGTGTCTATGGAAAAAGAAAGGGTATTTTAAAAATCAGCTGTTGATAATGAACAGATTGGTATCATTTGCCAACAAACAAGGCAAAGCATATGCACAAAATACTCAGGATTATTTGATAATAAATCATTTTAATGATTATACTCAAAATTATGAAATGAGGATAGCACTGATGTGGAAAATAACAAAGCCTCATGCTCATCATATCTGTTATCCATATGTGCATGGCTTTTAAAGGTTCCATTGTCATCACTTTAATGCACGTGTTTCCTTTGTACTGCTCAATCTTAACAAAAAGCCAGCTGATCTGGTTGAGTTTATATAGATGTATTACTCAAAATTATTATGACTAGGTATTGCTTTAAGTGTTCTGCTTTTGAGGAGCAAAGAAAAAAAGAGAGAGAGAGAGAGAAACCAAGAAACAGACTTAACTATAAAGAACAAACTGATGGTTACCAGAGGGGAGGTGGGTGGGGGATGGGTGAAATAGGTGATGGGGATTAAAGAGTACTCTTATTGTGGTAGGCACTGAATAATGTGTAGAATTGTTGAATCACTATGTTGTACCCCTGAAACTAATAGAACGCTATATGTTAACTATACCGGAATAAAAATGAAACATTTGATAAAAAAAAAAAACAACAAAGAACAAAAAAACAACTTTTTTTTAAAAGTGTTGTGCTTTTGAAAATGACTATTTCCTCCTTGAAACTCATCTTTTTTTGGTTTTCAACATAAATACTCAACAATAAAGGAACTATTAGGTCATTTATGGTATGTTCATGTAGCAAAATACCATGTAGCCATTGTATATAAAAATATGTGAAGAAGGAACTTAAAAATGGGGAACAAGAAATATCTGTATTAAATCTGTCTAAACCAGATAGAAGAACCTTTAAGAGAAATCAAGCCACCAGGGGTTGAAGGAGAGGAATTTGCATTAAGAGTTTAAGACTTAAGAGGGGGAACATTTCTAGTTCACAAGGTCTGGAACATGGCTATGGATTTAGTAATTAAATGTGTTGTCTACATGAATTTGAAAAGTCTCAAGATAATGACAGGAGTTGTGATGAAGAGTTAGACCATTAGCTTGATGTCAGAATCTTTAGAGCATATTTGGTGCAAGTCAGGGAGAAGTGAGGAGGAGGGAGGAAGAGGGTAAGTAATCAGATAACTGAAGTATGACAATACTGAAAGGGATAGAGAGTCTTAAGTGTGGAAGGCTTGAGATTAAAAAGTAAGGTTCCTTGTTCTTTTGGTTTGTTGTTGTTGTCCTTTTTAAAGGAGTACTTCTTACTGTATGAAATGGTTTGAAAGTATGCTTTGGAACTAGGAGAATGCCAGCTTCCTCCAGCTGACAGTACTTGGAGTAGGAGAGAAAAGATAGTTTCTCCTATAAATGCTTGCAAGAAAAACAGGAGAGATAAGGTTTGGACAGCTGGAAAAGAATGGTAAGACATTTGGAGGCAAGGGGAGTAATATGGACATGGAGGTAAAGAAATAAAAATAGTAATTTGATCAGCTTGAGCTTTAAAGGAATGGAGTGGTAAGAGATAATTGAGGGGAAAAATTGGGACCTGATTGTGGTAAGCTTTGAATATCACTTGACCTCTAAGAGGGTGGTTCTCATTTATCCCCAACCACCCTCCCGTTGTAATTCACCTGATAGAAAGAAAAAAGAAAGAAACTCAAAATATGAAACATGCTTTCATCAGTACTCATGGTCCAATCCCACTGAATAGCAGCCCTGTCCAAAAGATTCACATGGATACTAACCATGCAGAAAATTATGTCTTTAAAAGGACTATATCCTCCAAAAAAAATTTCGGAAGCCTTGTAAAAATTGAGGTGGATGATGTGGCAAAGGCCGTATAGCTAGCAAATGGTTGACTTAGTGTTCATCCCAGAAGTTCTTCCTGCTCTATTTGTTGTAAATACAACATATCAGTTCTGTTTATCCTTCTGTCTCTCTTTCTGTCCCCCTTTCCCCTCTCTTTCCCTTTCTTTGTGTATTCAACAAACATGCTTGATTTTCACTCCAGATTTTTAATCTTAGTAGACTTAGTATCTTATGATAAAATGGGAAATTAATAAATAGTAAGAAAATTTTAAGAATGTTGTCTGTTGAGAAATTACAATAGCTCGTCATTGTTGGAAATACTATTAATATTTAGTAGCTAGGATAGTCTTTGTGTATCCAACTCCATGGAATTAAAAAACAAATTTTGAGGACAGAATTCTAGACAATAATATTAAGAACAAAGGCTTTTGTATGATTTATATTTTAACTACTCATATACCAAAAGAACAAATATTAATAAAACAAGTAGTATCATTGCTCAGAATGGAAATAAATAGTCTTAGATGAAAGAAATCTTACAAAATTTTAAAGTGTCTATATGTGTCTTCATAGATAAGCTTATGAAAATGAACAATTCACATTCACAAATGATTTTTTTTAGTGTTTTGAAAATTGTGGTAAAATACACATAGCATAAAATTTACCATTTGTACCATTTTTAACTGTACTATGTTATTCAGTGGCGTTAGGTACATTTACATTTTTATGCAACTATCACCACTACTCATCTCCAAAATTTCTCCTTCATCTCAAATGGAGACTCTACCCATTTAACAAAAGCTGCCCCCCTTCCTCTAGCCCCTGGTAACTGCTATTCCACCTTCTGTCTCTGTGAATTTGGCTATTTCAGGTACCTCTTAGAAGTGGGATCACGCAGTATTTTTCACATAAATATATTTTGTTACTTTCCAAAGCAAATAAATTTAATATCAGTGAGTGATTCACATGAGAATGATATACTGGAATCAAAGTGCTTTTCCACCTTTTAGCTATAAAAATCAGAACCCATACACTTAAAACCTAGATCTCTCTTTTATCTGTCTCCAGAATAAAATTTAACCTCTTACATTTTGGAATTTTACTTATTGTTAAATTACATACTTTTAGCTACAAAATGTGTAAGAGCAGTGATAATCCCTTTTTATAATCATCAACTATATCCCAAGCACCTTAAAAATTTTGTCTCATTTTAATCTTCATCCCAGCTCTATGAAGTATGTACTGTTGCATTTTGTGAGCATGGAAGTCAAGACTGGCCAGCTTTAAGTAACCTGTTCAAAGCCACACAGCTGGTAAAAGCAACATCAGGACCTGAACTCATGTCTGTGGCTTGAAAGCTCACACATCATCAGTGCTGCTAACTGAACAGCACCATATTAAAGATAAGAAACATTGCCTCTTTCTGAACCCAAACATTTTAGATATTTAATTTTTAGTATGTTTCTCCTGTATAAAATAATTTAATGGTTATATCTACATCAATCGGACTTGAAATATGGCATTAAAGTATTCATCTCAAACGCCAAGAATTATACCTCACTTGCTATGACGAAGAAAGAGAATTTAAAATGAAGTCACATCATTGTGTTCATTTGTAAATAACATATTGCAGCCAACTGTTTCTTAATTGCTCAGACTGTTGATAAATAATCCAGCCCTGCTGCTCTCCACAGACAATTTGCTTTGGATCAGACCAGGCAATTCAAACAATCCTAATTACAGTGAAACCCTTTTATATGAATTTCTGTTTGTTGCAGGGAAGAAAACCCCTATATAAAAGGTTAAGGCACTTATCTCTGATTTTTGCTTGAAACACAGCACCTAATACCCAAGCTTAAGTAATATTAGTCAAATGAATTTCGATTGAATAAAAATAAAGTAATATTTTGTATTAAAAATGTATATTTCATTGCTTTTATTTATTGTACTGTCATGAGTTATGTTAATTTTATGTTTTTAATTAAAAGATATGACAGATGTAGAGACTTCATTTAAAGCAATATTTGCCTTGAAATAAGCTATGTTGCTGAATGACTGTGTAATGTAACAGAGATTTGTATATTAATAGACAAATGTATCTATACTAGAAAGAAACCAAGACCTTAGGAAGTCTTCACTATATCAGGGGATTTGCTGTAACATGATATCATTGTATTTATGATTTTATGGTGTTAAAATGAATATTAAATGAAACAAAATTCCAAAGGATTACTCAGGAGGCAGCTAAGTACATAACATTTTGTACAGATGGTTGGAAGGCACAATTTTGCTCCATCACTGCATCCATATCCTTGAAGGATTTCGACTGAGGACAGCATTTCTTTGAATTTTTCATTAAACCAGATGTCTTGAAATATGAATTCCTTTTATGTTTCTTTGAGTTTTGGCTAAAAGAACCCCAGTGAATAAATCATACAATACTACGTGTCACCAGCACTTGTGAATATTTCTGCTTTGTTATTCTATTCTCAGTAGAGCACCATTGATTATCAAACTCAGCGGAGAGCATTTTATGATCATATATCTCCATTAGCTCCTAGTTTGACTATCATAGATTTTTCTGGTTAAGCCTGCATTATGTATTAGGAAGCCTATCTCTTCAATACGAAGTTTGATTTCATTTTTCTAAGCCCAGAACTCTTATTATGTATTATGTATAAAGATTCTTATCTTTTATATGTAAAAATAGCCTGCACTGTCTTTGTGTAACTGAACTATATGCCATCTTTTTTTTTCCTGATTCACAGTTCGCATCTTGTGCTATGAAGATGAATCTCTACAATGCAATGGCTGTCAGGGTAAATATTTCTTCACTTGTTAAACAAATGAAAAGTCAATTGTGCTCTGAATTCGCTTTTAATAAAATGAGCAAGCCAGAATAATGCAAATTTGATTGATATGCTAATGGTTAGAGAGAAAAGAGTACATAGTTAAAAAGTTAGTTATACTAAATAATCTTGGCAGTATTAAAAATTAGACTAAAATGTAAAACATGTAATTATCAGTGCTTATGTTTTAGAATGTTAAATATCTCTGAGCCATAACTAGAGAAAGACCGTAAATATTAATGAAGCAATGTATTAGTTTCCATATGTCATATAGAATATTGTGATAAATAGATGAACATGGTTCTGGAATAAAAGATGCCGGCCCAATACAAATCAATTAGAAATTATTCATATGATTTAGCAGTAATAAAGTCAGTTTCCACCTTAGAAGTTTTATTTCTATCCTCTCTCTATGTTCAATTTTACGTGTTATTTTCCTAATGGAACGCTTAGTGATTATGAGGCTGGTTTGGTTTCTGCACAGATTTTGGGAATGGGCACAACAAAAGTATTAGTATTAGTATTAAATATTAAAAGTATTAGTCCTCTTGTCTCAGATAGTATGGTAATAGCTTAATTGTGGAGCTATTATAAATGGAGAAAATACTTTGGTGAATTTCCCTAATGTCCTTAGAACTTATGTTGCCTTATTATATTCTCTTTCATTAATCTATTAGTTCTTCAGCTAATAATAGATTTTATTTTGGGTGAAGCAGCGTAGTAAAATACCTTCTAAAAGTCCTGTGCGGAACTATGGCAGCTAAATTAACATTATTTTGATTATGTATACTGCTTTGGGAAGGGTGCTTTCCTCTGCAGTATGGGTGTGTGCTGAGAGCCTATCCCAGGTACGGTCTCCATGTATGATCTATCTTTTCTTTTCCTTTTCCTTTTCTTCCTTCCTTCGTTCCTTCGTTCCTTCCTTCCTTCCTTCTTTCTTTTCTTAAGATTTTATCTATTTGAGAGAGAGACAGAGCATGAGCAGAGTGGAGGGGCAGAGGGAGAGGGAGAAGCAGGCTCCCCACTGAGCAGGGAACCCGACATGGGTCTTGATCCCAGGACCCCGAGATCATGACCTGAGCCAAAGGCAGACATTTAACTGACTGAGCCACCCAGGTGCCCCTCTGTCTACCTTTCTGTTCCCCTATGGTTTAGAGAGAAAAGGAAGAGGAAGAAGTAGATCTTCTTGCTTCTTTTTCCTGAGCCAAAGGCACATACTGTAGCTGCGATGGGCTATTTACCTTTGTTAATAATATAATAGTATAGGAAAACAATTTGGTTTTCTTCTTTCACTGGGAATGCTTAAATCTGGGAATTTAGGAGATTTTGATTCTCTGTATAACTCTGCCAAAGACTTAACTTCTGAGCCTTCAACACTGTTAGATTCTCTCTTTTCTGCTTATTTTGTGTCAGGTGTGTCTCCAAAGTAAAAAGCAATAGATGACTGTGAACGTAAAGTACTTGCTGACCTAAGACTTAGATGTTTCCATAGATCACCAGGGAAGATAAAGACATAGAAGACGTTAGAAAAATGCATTCTGTTGTTTGCTATTTAGCCCCCAGTCTTCCTATTGAGTTTTGATCTGACTTGAATCATGATTCTGTTTACCTAGATTAGGCATATCGAAGAAACCCACGTCAATATAAGCCGCTTGAAAGGCAGAGTTTTTGACTTCCCAACATTATACTAAAAGCTGCATTTCCTACTAGCATCACCCAAAGTCAACTTGTCTTTTATTAATGTTAGTGAACGATGTTAAACTTTACCTGGGTCCTGTGATCATGGAAAGCAACAAAGTTTAAAAAAATTTCCCCACCCTCTGGAAACAGCTTGCTGCAAAAAAAAAATTGCCCTTCACCACGTGACTTAGATGAGAGGCATAGATATGTCCCTTGTTTACCTATGACAAGGCCAGGCACAGCAACCCCCTTCCTAAATTTCCATTCTTTACCTCACAAATGATTAGCACAACTGCTTGTCTCCATCGATCAATTGGAAAAACATGTTTATTCACCAAACTGTGGTTAAAGTTCTCTCCTCCCTCCGGGTCCCTGAATTTTAGCCAGCATATAATACCTCCTCCTGAGAATAAGCTGGCTTCCGGGTAAAGCATTTTCTGATCTATCCGATTATGCCACCATTTCATCCCACTTCCCCACATCAGGTTCTTTCTAGCCTTGTTTACATCTTCCTATTAAAAACAAACAAAAAAACAAACAAAATTCTTTGTGTCTACTTCTTGACATGCTTACAGATCTTATGGTCAAAAGCACTCTCCCTATTGCAGAAGTCCACTCATCTACTGTGATGGTCACTCACTCCCTCTCCCTTATAATAATTCTTTGAAATAAAGTCTCTCTTGCTGTGTCCAGAGTTATTTTTTATGCGACATATTCCAGGAGAGAAGAGTAGAGGTGAGGATGCAGTGACCATTAAAGTGAGGCAGAGGAAGGCTTGAGCCAAGCCACTGATGACACACAGGAGTTTTTGTGAGGCTATGTAGAGGATGTAAGTACTACTGTGAGAAATTTATAATAAAAACACTTCTCTAATGAAGATATTCAAAGACTGCCTTCAGAGGTTTGGATGAGTTGACTTGGTAATAGACTAGGTACTTCATGTTCCTACGATGAGGAATGGGGCTTACTTGCATGGAGACCAAAATGACTGCCTAGCAAAGATTAAATTGTAGTGTTGGTTGATCACAGTGACCAGACCTGAATTTATTTGTAAGAAGTGCAGTTTTACAAGATGGTGCTCTGAAGATTGTGCTTTCTGCAGGAGAGAGTGGCTAAAGAAACCAGTGTGTGGTCCACATACCTTCATGTTGTGCACATCTGAAATTACAATCCTGGCTAGATACCACTAGCTGAAGTTTTACGTCTAATAGCTACACCTCTGCCTTTTCAGTTTATCAGCTACCGAGTAACCTTGTTCAAAATAACTGTCCCTTAAATGCTTTACATATGGGTGGCCGTGTGTGTCCAGGAGGAAAAATTTCTAAGAGTCATAGATAACTACCAAAAATTTATATGGTCAGTAATATTCCAACAGATATATGTGCACACAAATCTTGAATAAGATTTTCACATACAATAGAAAAGAAAAACTTTTGTCTTAATTTGCCTTTTATACTGAGCTGATTACAAATTATGTTTGTTGACTCCTAGCATGACAAATTATCACCAATTGCTAACGAGGCTAGTGGAGCATTCCTGAAAATAGAGGGATTTAAAAAATATATTTTTTAGCCTATCCATTCCTATATAGATGTCACTTTCTTATAATAAAGAATAAATTAGATGATTTTTTAATGTAATATGTATCCATATCCTGATTTGCTGCATTTATTTTTTCAAGGGTCACCTTCTCTCTAAAGACTTTACGATCCCCCTACCCATGTAGAATTGATCACTCTTTTTATGTCCTATTTTACCATCAACATACTTCTGTTATAGAACCTGTAACATTTTATTATCCTTACTAATTCACATGCCTGTACCCACCTCCCCACACACTGTAAGTCCCTTGGGGCCCAGATCCTGTTCTCTTAGTTTTTGTATCTACAGTTTTTGGCTTATAGTAGGTGGTTAAATTTCCCCGAATAAATCAATGAACGTTAGCCAATTCTTTTCTAAATGAGGAGTAAAAAAAGTCATTTGTTTTAAATACTTTTTGTTTAAGTCCCTCAGTGTCTTTGTTGGAAATTATTTAAGCCTTTGCTGGGAGACCTTTAAGACTTTTTGGAAATCTGGTGAGGTTATGTGGTATAGATAAACTGGACGTGGTAAGGTACTATTTGGTTAGTGCAATTCTCATGTGAATGGAAGATCTCATGAACTTTGCGACCTTGCCTAAGTATCATAACATGTACAGGTTTGAAGGAGGTTTGCTATGATATAAGCTGCTGTCAGAACCCACAGTATGCCTTCTTAAAATCCCTGTTACTGATATGCTGCTAGGCCAGTGACAGTCAATTAATACAGCAATAAATTGCTCAATAAATTTTTATCTTAGCTCTCGGGGCCCTATTCCTCCTGTTTCTCTCTGTGACACTTTATTGCCTTTTTGGTCTTTAATTCAACTTTACTCCAGATTAGGGTTCTGCCTTTCCTCCAGCATTTTGGATATTCCATTGTGAATCTTGTCTAAATTTGGTCCCCAACTTTTTTTTTTTTCAGTTCTCTCTTTTTGAATAGTTTTTAGTATCTTATACAAATGTCTTGAACTGATTCAGTTGCTAAATTCCTTTCTTTCCACATCCCATTTAGATACACAATTGTCTATCCTTTTACAGCCTGGCGTAGAGTTGACCCTCCATTCCTGATGCCAGGGAGCATCTAATTAAGCACTTAGGTGTCACCTCAGGTCCACCAAACGCTGGGCTTAGCAACTCAGCTTCCTAATAACAATACTATAAAGATGAAGGCAAAATTGCTTTATGTATAGAAAGTCCATTAAAAAATATCCCCAGGTAGCAAAAAGAAAGTATAGCTTAGCAGGATTATTTCATCCATCCTAGGGTCTATTACTTGTTCCTTTTCCTCAGTACCTTGACTCATGGTTCTCAACATTTAGTGTTTTCTCTTGCTTATGACTTTCGTTTACTGGCTGACCCCGTCCCAGATGAAGCCTCTTCTGTGGACTGGTATATATCATATACTTAATTCTTCCATTTATAGGTCACCCAAGAGGCTGAATGTATATCTAGCCTCAACCTTGTCTTTGAGGCTCCTATTTCCCCAAGAGAATGGCTCCAGATTTTCCCACTTATTACCTGAGTGTGAATATATATATGTTGCTGGCAAATCTGAGCATACCTTTTGTCAAACTGATCATCAGTGGAAGCTATATGTCTCTGAGGCCAGGCAAGAAAAATATTGTAATACCACATATTCCCAAATCTTGGTAAGTCAGAACCATTAGTAAATAATGATAAGAGTTAGCAATTGCATGGCAGTTACTACCCTCCAGGCACCAGTCTTAAATATTTTAACTCTTCTCTGTAATCCTCACAACCAGCTCTCAGAGGTTGATATCATTATGATTCCAATTTGAAAGATGAGGAAATAGAATCACAGAAAGGTATCTTGCCCAAGGTCCCACAGCTAGTAAGTGATAGTGTTGGGAATTGAACCCTAGAGGGCTGGTACCAACATTTCTGTTACTCCTGACGACTTGTATTCTTGCCTTTACTGCTAGTCTTCTCCTTTTTTCCGTATCTGGATGAGAACAACCATGTGAACCCTGGACTGAGCTCTTATGGAAACTTCATTACTTATGCTCTGGTTTACTTGATATGATAAACTTATCCCCTGGTCCTCACAGTTCATGAGCATCTTACTGGTAGTACATTTTACTTAGGGAATTCTAAACTTAGTGTCAATTAGTAGGAGACCACAGTGAGTGTTACATGCTTCCCCTTGCAGGCAGAATTGGATGACAAACCTCTCCTTGTAAAAGAAGGCTGGGGCCTTTACCTACTGCTATTGCTAGCATCAGGATTTGTCCCCCATCATCACCCTAAGACTGCCAGCAATTTCAGCTGCTAATCTCTCTGTACATTAACTCTTAGAGTATACTGGTCTTCAGTAAACTAAACATAATGAGGATATGTAGTCTGTCACAGAGTTTGGAAGTTAACCAAAGCGCTCTCTGCAAAGTATATGTTCCTTATAATGTCCTTGAAAAGCCTCCATTGGGTTATCTTACACATCTTGAGTCCTCCTTTGCTTGTCTGTCCTAGGACAACTGGCGCAATATCATATGAATGCAAATTTCAGGAAGTGCTCATGTGTAGTATCTTAGAGATCTCTTAAAAAAATATGTTCCATCAGTCTTTTTCTTCTCACTTTCAAAATCTATGAGAAATGAAAAATGAAAATAATCTAAAGATTACAGATTTTTTAAAAAGCTACTGCTATAACTGATTATTTCAAGTAGAATTCCCTTAACCCTGGAAACTTTGTACATGTTACTGATCAATCATATATACTTATGTAATGATATTCTTCTGGAATCTAGAGCATCTCGGCTGATCCTTTATTATTTCAGTTATTTTAAGTGATTTGTCTTGAAATTAGTGTCCCAAAATATTTTAGTTCAGATAGAAATCTTCACTTAAGAAAAATAAAGACTATAATAACAGGAGGATCACTAGATTAAAGATCACTTAAAACAACCAATTTGCAAAGTAACCATGACTTTATTGGCTCTTTCTTCTTAGAGGTCTGAATCTCTGAATACAAATTTTAATTTACAAACATTAATCTAGCTTGAAACATCAATTAGCCATTTTATTTTGTTTCCCACTTGTGTTTAAAATATAAAAATATTAGAAATTATTATATGGTGGCTTTAATTAAAAAATAGTTGAATATGTGTCAGATATATAAGGATCCATTTCAATCTCCTAAACTATTTATAATCCGGTTTTTGTATTTGTAATACTATGAAGTATGTACGTTTAGAATAATGACTCCATGATTAGATGGATAGAGATAAATAGGAATTTATCAGGAATAATTCAGGAAGTAATTAAGGAAATAATTTAGGACAAAATAGTGAACGTCTGTTGTATACTAGATATTATGTTAGGCTCTAGGAATACAAATTAATAGAAAAAGATATCCCAAAATGTCAGCCCAAGGAATAAGAGGAAAAGGATCATATAGATTTGCCTGATGATGGATGGATATTTAAATTTTCCATCACCATGCAAAAGAATATTTCTTCTCCCTTCCTACTACTTCTAGTACCAGTAACATTGTGAAATGATTAAATAAATTTGTAGGTAAAGGGAGTATAAAGTCAGGTAGAGTGGGGAAACAATATTGAAGAGAAGAAACTGCATATGGAACGATTATCCAGAATCTTCTGTTAGTTACAAATACCTAGTTAAGATTTCCATTCATATACGTATGTTTTTGACATGATAATTCAGTGACACCTAGTATGAAATTTGGATATTACTGTTTTTTAAATACCTTGGAGAACTTAGTAAACCTACTTTTCGGTGCTCACTGTATAATCTAGGATGTTGAGCACTCTAGTAAATAAGAGCATAGCCATGAGTAAGGGTTCTACTTGTCCGCTTTCAAGTCCATTCAGACCACTGATACTACACAGGTTATTATCAGTGATAGACATTTTGTTTTCCATGTCTTCATTTTAATTTTAGGTGAGAAGACATTTTTTTTTTCTCTTTTGATAACAGTAATTTTACTCTGAATTTTGAGAAATAAAAGTAAACCAGTGGAGGGTAAATCTTTTCTATGAGCAGATGGCTTTTGGTATATCAAGTTTTTGCCATTTGTTTTAGTGCTTAAAACAAACATTATTTATAAGACCACTTACATTTTGATGTTACTTAATGAGGAATATGCATCATTGATTTGACTAGCTTAAGAGGTCATTTAGAACTTGCCCGTTAATAAGCTGTAATCTGCTGAGCACACAATGACTTTGTTTAAAATTATCTATTCAGAGCTGATCAATGACAATAATTGTTTTATACCAATCACTTCTGAAAGTTGCTAATTACTTTAAAGGACATGAATACTAGCCTTTTTTTTTTTAAGTCATAACCCATTCACCTTGAAATTAAGAAATGTTATAAAAAGTCATCTAGCCTCTTGAAAGAACTTTTTTTTTTTTAATTAAAGTTGATTCGCTAGTACTGGGACATCAACAGGAAATTTAGGCAAAGTTACAGATGTCATCTGTTCTTATAAGAGAAAGTATAGTAGAATCTCCACTGTATTGTATCTTCTATCAATTAGGGATTGGTTAAACTGGACTCCTTATAACATGGGAAAATGGTATCTTTTAAATGAAAGAACACATACACATACTTTTTCTTCTTATGTAGTTCATCTATAAGATGTTTTAGTGGAAAGAGTCTGGGCTTTTGAATAAGACAGAGCTGGGTTTGTATCCTGACTTTGCCATTTATTCTTTTACTGGTTATGTGAACTTGATCAAATTACATAACCTCAGTTTCTTCATTTTTAACATGCAGATCATGCCGCATGCATAGGTTAGCATGAGAATTAAAGCAGTTAGTTAATGTAATACCTGGCACATTCATGAGCTTCCCTTCACTGGATGGCAGCATCTTCCCCTGGTCGAACACCCAGTTTCTTTCTACTTTTACCTACTTACCTCTAGCAAAGCCATTTAAAGATTGATTATCAATCAATATTATTAATGTGGTTGAGTTTTAATTTGTTATTTTAACCATCACTTGCTCAGTATGTGTTTTATTTTTATTTTATTTATTCATTTTTTTTTAAAGATTTTATTTATTTATTTGACAGAGAGACACAGCGAGAGAGGGAACACAAGCAGGGAGAGTGGGAGAGGGAGAAGCAGGCTTCCCGCGGAGCAGGGAGCCTGATGCGGGGCTCGATCCCAGGACCTGGGATCATGACCTGAGCCGAAGGCAGATGCTTAGCAACTGAGCCACCCAGGCGCCCCTCAGTATGTGTTTTAATACCCAATTCTGAATAAAAGGATTTGTCTTGGAAAGGAATTTTAGCCTGCCTTTGGGTAGATGTCTAGGGAGGTTGGATATTAGAAGATCCCCTGAGAACACACAAATTACAGACTCTCTGGAGGTGGTTAGTGCTGTTTCTAGTATTTGTCTGGTTTGAAGTGGGAGGGAGCCCATGTCACTGACTTCTTCAGGTATCCTTCCTATTGACATGGATTCAATTTTAGTTTTGTCCTTTCAGACTTCTTTTCTCAGAATGGGCATACACGCTGCCCTAGTGTGACCTAATCATAAATCAACATCTTTCCTTTTTCCTTCTCAGTGATCCAGCATGCATCGTTTAATCTTACTTCATTTAGAATTTAATGATGTTTTAATGTTATAAGTAGTTCCTACCTTAACACTATATGATATCCTAATATTTTCCCATTTTTCCTAAGTCACTTCTGTTGCTAATGATGGATTTTCTGTTTGTACTTTTGTCTGAAAGTGTTCTCTTCTTTTATTGTATGACTGTACATGAAGTAAAAGCATGGTGTAATATTTGAAGCCATCCCACCAGCTCTGTGACTGAAAGCAATGATTTAACCTCTCTAAGTATCAATGTCCCCTTCTATCAAATGAGACTAATAATAATCTCTACCTCAAAATGATATTGTAATGATTAAATTAGATGAGCCAGGAAAATATTCACTTATTTGCATATATGATTTATATACATATACATATTCCAACTGATTATTCTTTTTCATTAGGAAAGTGGTTTGTATCAGTTCCTCACCTTTCTTTGTCAGCTCTAATACAGTTTGGTCAAATTAGAGGGAGATAGTTTCTAAAATGAGTATATAACTTTAAAAAATAATTTTTCTTATTTAATGAATTTCTAAAATAAGATCACTTGAAAAATATTTGGAAAGGTAGAGATTGCTAAAGCAAATTTTTGATTGTTCAGTAGTTAATTTCACATTTAGTGTTTGTGAAAAATTATAAATTTTTTAAAATCTAATCTCTAAATATGTTTTGTTTTTATAATATTTTATAATCTAAGTACACCCTACATTTGCAACTATATATACTATTACTGGGAAAGCCTAAGACTTTATTTGATGTGAGTTATCATCCATGATTACCTTAATTTTGAAGAACTGTTAATGTTTTCACTAAAAATGCTCACTGGTATATTTTATCTTTTAATTTACTTCAATAGATTCAGAGGCGATGGCGAGGCTATAGGATTCGGAAATACTGCTTTAATTATTTTTATTTGAAGGAGTACCTGAAAGCTGTTTCAGAGACCAATGATGCTATTAGGTGAGTATTCTACTAGTGATAATCTCAAAAAGGTTACTTAATAGATGTTGATCAGTACCATACTTAGGAATACTTACTAGAACTCAGTGATATTTTAGATAGAAATTTATTGATAAGATAGAGACACATGATTCTATTTACCTTAAAATTTATTGTTGTGGGGCGCCTGGGTGGCTCAGTCAGTTAATTGTCTGACTTCAGCTCAGGTCATGATCCCGGGGTCCTGGGATTGAGTCCTGCGTCAGGCTCCCTGCTCAGAGGGGAGTCTGCTTCTCCCTCCTGCTCTGCTGCTCCCCCTGCTTGTGCTCTCTCTCTCAAATAAATGAATAAAATCTTTTAAAAAAATTTATTGTCATATTTTTAAATATATTGTACTTTTGACGATAAATTAGATTATTTATGTGTTCAGTAGGCCTCTCTGATTCTGTGCAAAATAGTTTTGGTAAAATTTTCTCATTTTGAGATGGATTTATCTGTAAAGTGATTCCATAGATAAAGATTTAAAGTATGATAAGCCTCAGATGTATATTGAGAAATATGATCAATAGTAAGAACTTGCCTCTCAGGAGCAAGATGGTGGAGGAGTAGGAGACCTGTATTTCGTCTGGTCTCAGGAATTCAGCTGGATAGGGATTAAACCATTTTGAACACCTACGAACTCAACAGGAGATTGAAGGAAAGAATAGCAACAACTCTCTGAACAGAAAAGCGACCACTTTCTG